GATGCCGTCCTGGAAGTATTGACGGAAGAGCAACTCCCCGAGGAAATTATTCATGGAACTCAATGGAGGCTCTATGACTCGATACGCTCGACCGGCTTACTGCCGCAGTGCCGCCTCAAAGGAAAGGGCGGCGGCAAAGGCGGAGAAGGGCGAAAACACGTCCACTTTACGACCTCAGGAAGTAGCCAAGAGGAAGTAGTTTCCGGCATGAGGGCCAGTGCGACGATGGCGGTAGCCGTCAACACAAGAACGGCAATGTCTATGGGAGTCCGCTTCCCGCGAAGCAGGAATGGCGTTATTCTCACGGCCGAAGACGTTCCCCCGGAGGCCATAGTGTATTTTCAAAGCTTGAGAGACCAAGCTAAGTATGATAGGTGGGGCTCATCCCTTTAAGCTTTCCTCGAGGAGTAGCTCCCGGTAGCTACTGTTTGGCGGAGTTCCTCCCCAGCAGAACTTCCTCCCACCTCTTGAACTCTGATCTGAACTGTACACCAGTAACAAGACTCTCTTTAATTCAGTCCCACCTAAATAGTGTCCTTCTCTGAGTGGAGAATCACCCTACGAGCTTACCCAGTCGGAGGAGCTTCTCCCCAAAGGACAACTTGTCAAAAGCCGCAGAAAAAGACAGAACCAACATGGCCAGTCCCGTGCTTGCACTGCTAGGAACGGAGCTTCGTGGACTTTTAAGGATCAAGTACGTGATTAGTCCAGTAGTCATGGCGGAAACACCGAAGAGAACGGCAGCTCGCGACAAGTCCAGAACACCGCAACCAGTTCGCAGAATGGGAAGATTAAGACGTGCCAACTTGTCCAGTGACGAAATCGAGGACTCAGACGACGAGATCCCCGAAGCGAAGGCTTCCCCTACAGGACGCAATCTAGTGATGGGAACTCCTAGGTCTTCCTTGGAACCACCAGCAGGACCTCCTCCTCCGAAGCCTGTCAATCTACCTCCTCCAGTAGCGTCTGAGCGGATGGGTGGAGCTCCTCCCCCAAAAAGCACAGTTCCAGCGAAAGCAGCTCCAACTTTGCTAACACACGGTGGCACGGGAACAGTGGAAGTTATCACCTCAGCACCATCAACGGCAACAAGTTCCACGCCGATCTCATCAGGAGCCGTAGTGGATCCAAACACTCATGCACCGGAGCTGCCCACCCTAAGGGTGCATTTGCCAAGCAAGCTTCTCTTCAACGTAGAAATCGTGATCAGAGGGGACGCTCCTCCAGTAGAGTAACCTCGACACAAGGTGACCAGAGATGCCATGGCTGACTTCCGAAAAAGAACTGTCAGCAGCAGCACAGATGACTCACATCTCCTGCCGTCCTGCCGCTGTTGTTGTGGTTGTTGGTAGGTTTCACCTGCTCTGACATCTGTAAAGCCGGCGCTGTAGCAGGCAGACCAGAGCCCGGTCGCTCAGCATCCAATCAAAGTAGAAGTTGTAGTTGTATAGTAATAGAAGTAGTAATAGCAGTTGTAATTGTAGTAGTAGTAGTAGTAGTAGCAGCAGCAGCAGCAGCAGCAGCAGCAGCAGGAGTAGTAGTAGTAGTAGTAGTAGTAGTAGTAGTAGTAGTTGCAGCAGTAGTAGTAGTAGTAGTAGTAGTAGTAGTTGTAGTTGTAGTTGTTGTTGTTGTTGTCGTCGTCGTCGTCGTCGTTGTTGTTGCGGCTGTGGTGCCACTTTGGGGGAAGGCGGTGGTGCTGGTGGTGGTGGTGGTGGTGGTGGTGGTGTAGTTGATGGTGGTGCAGGCTGTGGTGGTGTTTGTTGTAAGTGCAATCTAGTCCTTTACCGGGCTCCTGCGATGATGCTCTAGGTAGGATGCTCCTGCAGTGCTTCTCGAAGGTTCTGGCTGCTTGAGCCCTTGGTGGAAAACCGTGCTTCCGCTTCGGAAGCATTAGAAAGCGAGTGGTTCTTCTTTCAAGTATCCGGGCTGCAAGGTGCACTGCCTGATTTTCGTATGTATGTACGTATGTATATATTATATCTACACACAAAGAGCATACATAACATGCATGCTTGTACGTATACAGGCTGTATAGGTATAAATATAAAGATGTTCAGTCCTTTCAAGTTGGCCCCAGTTTGTGCCAAGGACTCGGGTGGTCTTTCCCGGATTATGCAGCAGAAGCTCCCGAAGAATTCGTTGCTTCAGCGGCGGCTGCGCTGCAAAGGGCTGGAACCCGTTGGTTTGGGTTCGGTGTGCTTTTCCTTCATCCTGCCTAGGGCCATACGCAACCCACCTAAGATCAACATGTCTCGGCTCAGCAATCATGCAAGCATCAACCACGTAGGTTAGCACCGAAACTGCAGTCAACACAACGGAGCTTTCTTGGCTGCTCTGCCCGGCTCGGCTGGGTCTCTGATGCCGACTCTCCTCCAAGGTCAGACCCGAACTCTTCAACACGCGAGTCGTCCTCTATGGTGGTGTCCAAGCGGACATCCTTGCCAGTTCCCGGTGCCAAGCACAAGAAGGTGAAGAAAGCATTCCTGGATCCGTCAGTGTCGCCGGAGCACAGATCCTCATTCGGTGTCTTCAAATCTCTGAGTTCATCAGCTCGACGAGCAATATTGACGGCTTCTAGTGCGCTGACAGCGCTGGTTGGCAACAACAAGGCCAAGCAAGCAAAGGTTCATCAGGATCCTGAGTTTGATTCTATATTCGTGCCATGAAGGTGCCATGAACTGAGATTCCGGATTGGAGCATTATGCGTCTTTTCTGGTGGTCTGCATCTTTTTTTGGAACATCTGCGCCTTTGTCTTCTCGGAACAGACGCTTTCCAACAACGGTTCTTAGGAAAGCCACCGCGTCAGCTGTCAGCTCTGCTTGGTTCGTGTTTTAAACTCAAGTCAGAGCAGCGTTCTTGATGCTGCATCCGCATGTGCCGCATTTTTTTAGTGAAGTTTGAAGTGGACAAGGCTTCCATGTTGAGCATAAGCCTCCGGATACCTCGCAGTAGTTCACGCCAGACGGGCAAGCAGAACTCTTGCCGCAGGATCTGGCTGAATATTTTCTCGTCTCAAGATTTTTGAATGTTTAATTTCATATCTGATAGCCCGTCTGAAGATCTTCCTCGGCCTCTCGCCAATGGTCAAAGCCCATTTGGGGATCCAAGTCGGGAGTTGACGGTGCTGTATAGACATTTTCAGTGCTGCAATCGTGCCATGCGTAGTGCCGTACAATAAAGCTTTGGAGAAAACCAGTCTGGACATCTGTCTTGCATGCTCAGAACACGAGAGGTTGTGGGTAACCGCGGCAGAAGCATGATTTCTTGCGGAGGAAGGCCGCCCACATTCTTCAACCTGACATCACCTGGCTGGGTGGAATCACCGAGGTTGGGTGCCGTTGTTTGGCGAGCTGTGGTGGGAAGGAAAGCTCATGATCGGGCACTTGGCACCAAACAATCCATGTCGCTGGCTTTGAACGTTGCCGTCAAGGCTCAAACTGTCTGTGAACAGAGCCCCCTCGGCTGCCCGGCCAGGAGGACCATGCCAAAACAGGTGCGGACATCGTATGATGATTATCATGATTGCCATCCTCACTTTTTGCAATCATGACAAGGAAGCCTGCCAGTCCTCTTGTAGCAGCCCCGCTTCGACCTCCCTGCAACCGGAAAGGCTATAACCACGCGGATAAAGTCGCACACGCGGCTGACAGACTCCCTGGCCCGCAAGCTTTTTTTGCACCCATGTGCGATGGAGACCTGAAGATGATGCAAGTGGCTGTTTTCCTTTTCCGCCTTGTCCTTTGTGTGGCGGGCTGCCGCAAATTCCAAGGATCAGTACCCATGGGTGGAGGCATGGCGGGTCTTCTACATGAAACTCGTCCCACATGTCAGTCCTGCTACAATGTATCCCAAGGCTTGCCATCAGCCCAGCATGTCGTGCAGGTGGTCCTTAGACTACTCGGCGCGTGTGGAACAACTATTCTGTTCGGCATCCGCCTGGTCATCGCCGAGTTCCTGTTCGGCATCATGGAACCTTTGCCGCAGTCTAGACATTCAAGCTGTGCTGGTTGTTCTTGAGAGAGACTGCCCTCGTCCCGTTTTCTGCCGATGCGAGGCCTGGGCACCAGTGAGAGCCGCTGGGGCGCTGCTGGCGGCGGTGCCCTTGGTCTACACGGGACGGAGCAATGCTGGAGCCCCGGATCCACTCGCGGCGACACAGTAGAACAGCGCACTGTTTCCGCTGCTGCGATGATCTTGCCGAGTTTCAAAACCTCATCAGCTGCAAAAGCACGGCAGAGGCGCGCTGCAAGTGAGAGGAAGATCCCTCAGTGGCACTGCAAATGAAAGCTTTCAACGTCCCAGCCTGGGAGGCCCTGGTGGAGTTCTCTAAACTTCTGGGCATGAGTGGGCCTTTCATCTGGTCCCGGGCTCGGTTTGGATTTCCCACACAGTCAAAGCGGACTCGAGGGCAACCCCTTGAGCCAGAGCCTTCCTTGCTAACCTGGAGCCAATTGACTTTTCGAGCATCCGCCTTTCATCCTGCAGCTTCGGGGCTTAAGATTCAGGGACATGTAGAATTTTAAGGGCTTTGGGTTCGCTGAGGTTCGCGCTTCGTTGTCTCGACTGGGAGCTCGGGGTGCGTGACTCGGCCGATGCAAGACTTGGTGGCTTGTAGCCTGGAGGCCAGGAGCTCCTGCAGGTTTCGGGTTCAATAATAATACAGGGCAATAATATAGTTGAGTCTAGATCAGTATAGCTTTTTTGTGACGTGATATACACGGCTCGGAGAGGTCACAGAAAATCCAGCCTTGGTGCTTCGGAACACCGCGACCTTGGGAAGTGCCTACTCCATGTCTGTAAGACCACGGCAGTGACATGTAGCCCAGGAGCAATGGTTGGTGCCCTTTCCTTCAACCTCCTAGTGCTGCTGGTGAGATTGGCTCTGAGCCAGAAAAACAGCAAAACACCAGAGAAGGAGGAGAAGAAGCGTCTCGGCCAAATCTTTGGGCTATCCCATCTATCCCATCAACACGTGTGTTAGGAGGCGCAAGGCTTCGTGACCTGCATTAAGACTTGTTACCCGCCTGTGTCGCGCATTCTCGTTCAGGAAATCTTCCAAGAAATCGTGAGAGTGTTCACCAAGCCCCAGCTGCTTGACCTTGATGTTTGGGGCACATGCGGCAGCACAAACACGTGAAAGGATTTCAGACCGATCTGATCTGGAGTCACGTTGACGTGGAAACCTTTCGGCTTGATATCCTCTTAGAGACAGTGCCTCAGACCATGCCTAGCCCAACGTGTGCGCAGTTGGTATGGGAGTCTCCAGTGATGGAATGATGCAGAGCTATGTCGGTGTACATTTCCAGAGTTCCAGATGGACCTAGGGCGGGCAGACCGTGTCGAAGAAGCAAGCACAACAAGTTGACAACAGGCTGTGTGTGCCGTGTGCTTGTGCACGAAGTGTTCCTACAGGGTCCTACAGCTCCAATCACCAATGGTGTGTCAAATGTATCATGTTGGGAAAGTCGAACGTACAGGGTGATCAAAGCTTCCATAAACCCGTGGTGGGCGCTAACCGCTAGCCAGCTCTTTCGAAGCACATGACAACATTCCGCCGCAAGCCGTAGTAGCTTTGTCCGAACAACTTGACCAATGTGGCCCGTCTGTCCTTGATTTTGGCCTTTCAGGCCATGAGGTGTGGTCTGGGTTTCTCGGGCCTGCCGGAGCTGACTGAATAGTGTCGGCTGCTTCTGTCTCACGAACTTTCACGCTTAGATTCCCGCATCGATGCTGGGGTCAGCCCATGGCCTGAAGAAGCAAGCTTCAACGATGCATGCCCGAGCTGACGCAGCAGAAGCCGGCTGCAAAGCTGAGCTCCCGTTAAAGGCGATCCCGGCGAAGTCGGATGTCGGGGAATCTGAGCTGTGCAGCTCAGAGGCTCCTCAAAGTTTCCGAAACCCAGCTGCAAAACCGCAACGGAGCGTCAGGAGCTTAGTTAGGTTCTGAAGACTAGCCTCCGCCCTCCGCCACTGAGTGCACGAACATGTGGACGCCTGTTGTCTAATGCCTAATTGGGAAGAGGCGCTCGAGCGCCGTCTGGATGCTTCAAGAAGCCCTCTTAGCTCAGAAGTCGGAGCCAAGATCGCCTGGGGGCTTCTACTGGAAGCTCGTATAGACTTGTGCCTCTCTTTCGGGCGGGTGCACTGAAAAGAGTCTCGCAAGGACCTCTGGTCGTGAGCTGCCACCTCCACGTTCTGCAAGTCTTCGTGTTTCTCACGTGTTGTCGTTGCCAGGCCCGCCGAGTAATGGCTCTGGCTGCATCGAGCGACGTCTTGGTCGCAGCTTGGTTATGTCCATGTGTTGCACGAGTCAGGGATCTTGCGCGACTTGAGTGCTTCCTGAAAAGGCCAGTAGGAGCCTTTCCCGGGACAAGCCGTAGCCAGGTGGAAGCAGGTTGTATTAGGTGAGGAAAGATGACAGGAGGGCTTGCTGTATTTGTCTGTACCGTAAATGAGCTCCGACTTGCGGACGCACAGTGCCCCTTTACTTGCAGCTCCTGATGGTCTGAGGTACCACACGGCTCGTCCATCTACTCGTATCATCTCCAGCTCCTTGACCTTGCATTCTTTCGAGAGCAGTGCACAGTGCGACCCACTCTTTTCGAGTTGAAGCGCGATCTTCAGGGCCTCAGGGTTCTTGTCTTGGTAATATGTTTTTAGCGTGGGTGCCGTGTGCTCCGAGTAAATGCTGTAACTTGAACCAGGGGGTTGTAACAGGAAATTTGTTTCAGGAACTGGCTCGAACCTGTTTTTCAGAAACGAGGCCCGCTGTAGCAGAACCATGGTTTTGCAGCAAAAACCATAAGAAACCATGGTTTTATGAGGATTCCCAGTGAAATCCTCGTACAACCCATGGTAGTGTATACAAGGTTTGGGCTGTAGGGGAGAGGGGGTTCTGGGGGGTGTACGAATAGAGGAAAAGTGGAGCTTTCATGCGAAAGTTGTAATTTAGACTCGATGAGTGTTGAAGGGGGGGGGGCGATTCTGGAGATAGGGTTCAGGGTTTAGGGTTTAGGGAGAGGAGACTTGAGGAGAGGGAAGCGGAGAGGAGGAAAGGGGCAGGAAGAGGAGAGGTAAGGTTTTTGTCTTAGGGTTTAAGGGTTTTAAGGGCTAGGGATTTAGGGTTTAGGGTTGAGGTTCAAGGGTCTAAGGTTCGGGCTTCTAAAGTGTTAACAGGACGGAGGGTTTCGAAAGAGCGTTGGAGGTTTGTAGTGTTTATACGGCGCTTAGAATGGGCTTCTGAGATAGGGCTTTGAAGGGCTTTGTTTTACAGAGGAGTTCGAAGGGCTCTCTAAGAGTAAGCGCTGTAACTTAAAGCCACAACCCAAAATCCGGTTTTGGTTTCGTTTCTGTTGCAACTCCCACTTGTTAGGGTTACTAGCCCCAACCCAACTCCACTTACATGTCCCCCTGGTTACTGCTACTTCCTGGTCGGTTCCTGAAATGTGGTTCCTGTTACTTCTGCTCCTCCATTTCGGCATGCCGTCGTCTTGCATCCCGGCACTGCAGGTTTGCATTCACGAACGCACCTCTGGGTCGCGGTCTTGTTGCAGACTTGCTGGGTTCTGTTCTTCATGAGTTTTGCGAAGTGTCTGCCTGGTCCTTCAGCATCGCATCATGGTTGTCTTGGGGCTTTTTAGGGGAGCCATGGTGCAGTGTTGTGTTGTGGATGTTGAGAACTTGTGTGCTCATTCCCGACGTGCCATTTCTCGATGTTGCTTCGCAGGCAAGTGGACTGGATTCAGCAGTGGTTGTTAATCAAACCCTCGCACTGTGAGGCGAGTTCATCAACTTGTCCCCGGACGGCACAGAGGCAGCTCTCGCCGAATTCCGAAATCCCTTGTGCCCTGCCCTAAAGCTGCAAAACCTGAACCTTCAGACCCGCGGAATTTCGGCTTTGCCAGTTCAGGATCAGAGTTTAGAGTAGTAAGCGTTGCTCGTAGGGCTTCAGGGCCTACTTGCCAAACCCCAAAAACCAAGCACAAACCTCAGTCTCCTGGACTTGCTCGGCCTTTAACTGGGGCCTCTAAAGAGGCTTCAACAAGAGCTTGGGCTGTTGAGGTCGTCGGAGTCTTTTCAAATCCAATAACATGGGGTTTAATGTGCAAGCCTATGGGGTTTAGGGCCTAGGGTTTAGGGCTTTCAAAGCACTGACAGAAAGAAAAACGAGTCAGGACTGACACAAACAATACGCAGGACTCAGAACCGCTAGTGCAACCAGCAGCAGCAGGAGCAGCAGCAGCGGCGAAAGCGACGGCAAAAGCAGCAATAACGCGATTCAACAGCAGTAGCAATGATGCGAATCATAGCGTGAGCGATCCCTGACTTCAAGCTTGCGGCAGGGGCTCTTCAAACTTACAACGATCGACTGGGAACGCTGCTAGAAACTCAGTCTCAAGTGCATGCCGCTGATCCCTTCGTCGTGCCAGATCCAGCCGTACTTCGGGGGCCTTTTCGAGGACGAGCCTTTGCCGAAGGAGCCCGAGACAGATGAATGCAGAACGCGTTGAGCAGTAGCCAGCTTAAGGCATAAGCATGCAGACATGCATGCACGCATGCATACACATGATGTGCACATAGTCATCTCAGCGTTTTAGGCTGTACCCATAGGCCCCAAAATAGCTCCTTTTTGAGATTACCCAACAGGATCCTAAATACAAGCCACAAAAAGGAACTACTATGGGGCCTATGGGTAGGATGTAGGGTTTAGGGATTTTTTTAGGGGGTTTGGGCCTTAGGTTTTTTTTTTTTTAATGGCTCGGGGGAAAGGGTTTGGGGTTTAGGGTTTAGGGTTTGGGGTTTAAGGGGTTATGGGTTTCGGGTTTGGCAGTTCAAGGTTTGAGAGTAGGCCTCGGTGTTTTTTTACGCTCTGAAGGTTTGGGTTTTTCAGCTTCTGGGGTTTGTAGTTTCCCATGTACGGGTTTTAGGTGTTTTAATCTTCGGCGCTTTATTTGAGGGCCTTAACCTTGGGTTTAGAGCTTGGGGCGGTTTGGGGGTACGGGGCGTTCGGATGATTTGCGAGTATGTGTCGGACAGCAGGAGCTTGTAGATGTTTCGTGGTGAAATCCAGGAAAGTCTTGAGAATTTCCTAGCATGAGTTTTCGCATTACATCCAGGAGGTTGATTGTACCATCGGTGCTATTTTTTGTTTATCGACTAGAGTAGAGGCAAGGAGGGCAGGGACCAGATACGTATATGTATGTATATATATATAGAGATATACTTCGGTGTCTGTATATGTATATGTATATGTAGATGCATATGTAGATGTATATGCAAGGTACTGTAGCCAGACATGTGTAGGTGTATGTGTGTGTATGTCTATATGTACATGTACATGTATAAACGCTTATGCATATATGATCCCGGTTCGGCCGGCCCCCCCCCCCTCCCCCCCCCCAATGGTTCCTCCT